GTAATATAAAATGGGTTGAGTCTAAGGGTTCGTCAGTAGGGCCGGGCAAGAGTACGGGTGGTGCCGTCGACGGTGACCTTGAGGTGAGTAAGTGCACGCGCGGGGCGAGTCGATAGGCCCGCCGAAGCGCCGCGCCGCCCGCCCACACGCCTGCACTACAGCTGTTTTACTTGATAACGTGCCATCATATCATTTATTCCATTATTTCATTCTTTTAACTTCATATTTGGACGTTGCGCCGAGAACGGGCTTTTTGCCTTATATATATATATTTTTTTTAATTTAAATAATTGTATTTGTAAATGTATATTTTTTATTTTAGTCCATATAATTTATTCAATCTTTATAATATTTATTTAAATTAATAATAACCTAAGACCCATTTTTGTGTTTGGTTAATAAATTTTACTATATCAATTATAGAATTAGAAAAACTTAAGCGTACTAATATATAATTGCAAATACCAAGCAATTATATCATTGTCTGCCCCATAAGAGATCTAGCGTGATTTTATATCTATAAATCTAAAAAAAAATATAGTATTTTTAATACCTACAATTATAATAATAATTGAATAAAAAACCCGGTTTATTAACTATAATTAAATTATTATTATAAATATTACCTGCAATTTAATACAATTGTTACATTAATCAAAAAGTAGTTTCAAAGTATTTACTCATCTGTCTAAAACAATATTGTACATAGTTACATTAAAAAAAAACAAGTCCCGTCATACACACTTTAATAACGTTCATAATCCATAGCCCATGGGGTTTGCGCCAATTGAGTTAGTTCGCAAATCGGAAAATCGGAACCCTCCATAAATCGGAGGGTGTATGTGGAGAGCTAAGTGGGTTGCTGTTGGTTGGTGGCCAAGTATAGACGCGCAGTAATTACTGTCTCAGGAGCAAGCTCTTAATTTGCTTAATTTACCCGAAGCTGCTCCAGCGAGCTAAATCGCACGATTTAATGGGGTATTTCAATGGTACGCATTATTTTATATATCTCCGTCTGCTCGACGATTAGTCCGTCTACTTTACTACCTTAAAACCCATTTCGGAAGGGTAAATTTTACCTGTAAGTAATGATATTATATTCGTTTATGTCTTTATCGAGGTAATTATTCACTATAGGTATGGATAAATCAAGCTTCCTCGTCTCAAAATTCATGAGTTAGACGAAGCCTTAATTTCTTAATCTCTCTCGTGCGAAACTTCTGCACTCTAAAGATTTTTGCTTATAAAAATACAGAAGATTTCCTGCTACGTCTCTGCGGTAGTATAACGTTGGAAAGGTAGAAAAACAAAAATCCTATATTCCTACATGTACGTACGGTTCTTCAAGATTGCTTTCGTGCGGTTTGCAATAAAAGCCCACCGAGTGTGTGCTCAACCGCGGAGCTCTGTATTTAGAGCATGAATTTTAGATACATGTAGCCGAGGACAATATACTAAAATACGGGACATACTGTATTTGGTTACATACTCATAATGTCAGGTGGAAAATGAATGGAATGACAATCTTAGTATACCCACCTAACTAAACTCGGTCAGCAAAATAAACTGAAACGGGTCAGTACATAATTTATAATTTACGGAAGCTAAAGAAACAGAATAAACAGCAGGAAAATTCGGTGGCGTCACGCACTTGGTACACTTTCGTACAGAGGTGACGCTGTTGAAAATTGTAAAATTAAAATGAACACACTGTTTTAAATTTCACTTGAAAGGCAGACATCGTTGTGGGACCGATAACATCAGAATCATAAAGAGAACGGGCGGAGGCGTTCACTGGGCTCTCGGTGCACGTCTTACACTCGTTACGAATATTATGATTTATGTTTGGAAGCCTCCCTGGCCCCCTGGCGTATAACAGTAAACAAGGATGATGTGACACCATTTAGCGGGAATGTTTTTTTGTACAATAAGTAATTTTGGCTTAGCGTTACCGCCGAGCTTGGGTGCTCTTGCAAATAATTTAATAGGCGTGCTTTGCGTATTGTCATTGTAATAAAATTGAGATAAGGAAAGAAACCAGCCGACATAATTAAAGATGAAGCTCTCCTTTATTTTTATGATCTGTTTAATTGCTGCTATCTTCCAATACGCTGTTGGCAATCAAGATTGATGTTAAGTTACTTTGTTATTAGATAATAAGGGATTTTACACCCTGCGATGAAAGTAATATACGTAAATTTAAGTCTATTACTTATCATTACATTCACTTATGCATCAAAATTACAGTTTCTGTGTATGATCTTAATTATATCTTCCTTCGTATTATTTCAGACATAATCCATGTATTAAAATTTTATGATCTCGCGTTATTTACATGATTTATGTTGATCACTTTGTATTATGATCCGTTATTTTATTTATTACATGAATTGGTAGTTGCACTATGTGTAGCCTAAACAGTTTAATTGTTCCGTGACAAAGCTAAATTACAGAACACCAAATTTACAATAAATTACAGAAAACAGTTACTCATCCAATTAACTATTTCACGCAAATTAACTAAACGAGATATTCTCATAAGTATATCGCCTAGAGTACATTTTGTTTCAATGTACACCTGTCTAGAATAAATTCCTGTGTGCTTACTATAATAATGTTATTATCAACATTAATAGATGAGTATCATTGCATTCTGAGACAAGTAACTCCAAACTAAACAAAACTGACCAGGATATTAAGCCAATAATATGAAGAGCATAGTATAGAAATGAAGTACTGCATTGAACAAACATGAAATGCGTTCATGAAGTTAAAACAGTCTACCTTCCAACTAATCACTAAAAATAGCGACCTGTGTTCGCTTGGTGCGCTGCTATATCTTTTCCATTCTTCTGTATGGCGTTGAACCATGAAATCTTACGGAAACGATGTGTAAGAGAATACAGCATTCGAGATGTGGGTTTACAAGACAATATTAAAGGTATCATGGAGGGATCGGGTGCGTAACAAGACTACTCTGCAAAAAATACTTTTTTTATGCAACTTAGAATAGCAAACAACCTAACGATGATGGAAAGTGGTAACCGTCGCTTATAGACATGAGCAGTACCATTGACAAAACAAAGTATACTATTTCGCCCATAATACCCCCCATGCGTTGCCATTTCTTGTGACTCAAGTGTTATTCCTCTATACCCTGTAAATTCACTGCCATATCCCACCCTTCAAACCGAAACAAAACTGTTTGACGATAGAAACATGAATGGGACAGAGGTGCCCAAGCAATCGATTTTTGTACAAAGTCTCCCTCTGGTAGAATACAAAAAAAGGCAGAAATATTTAACCCTATAAAGCGCCTTAAGTTACTGTATCTGGGACACATAATGCGGAACAGAAAATTAAATTTTCTGCAGCTGCTAATAATGCTGCAAGGAAAAATCCAAAGTTACCAAAGACAGGGACGACGCCGAACCGCCTGGTTAAAAAATCTAAAGCAGTGATTCGGAATGAGCACTAGGTCCCTTTTTAAGATAACGAAGGATAAAGTAAAGATCGCCGTGATGATCGCCAACCTCTGATAGGAGATAACACTTTAAGAAGAAAATTTTCACCACCATACAACCCGCCACAAACTAAAGTTTCATCCTAATCATCTGGACGAGTGGCGGTCTTCCACCGTGCGTTTTTCAAGGCACTTTCTTCTACGCACAACCATTCTTTGGAATCAACTTTCAGCTGCAGTTGTGCTGGTGTTGTGTGTGATCATGGGCGGCGGTAGTCACTTACCATCAGGTGAGCCGCACGCTCGTTTGCCCTCTGTGTTGTAAAAAAAATAATATAACGAAACTAATAATTTTTCAGGAGTATCAAATTTCATAATTATTGTAATTATTGTATTGATATACATTAATCGACATACGTAAAGATCCAATTTATACAGATTCACATTTTTAAAATGACGATATCGCGGCATGTTGAATTATTTATGATTTTGAATTTAATATAGGTGCGTACATCATAAATACAAATAATTGGAAACTTGAATTCAATCTCGGTAATTCATTCAGCATACCGCGATATTATCATATTAAAATACGAGCAAGTATAAAAATCAAAACAACATCGACAATAACAATCCATTAAACATTATTTATGTAGTAACCCTTATGCAAATAACTATAAACAATTCTTTCACCGATTCTAAGAAAATTTAACCTGTACCTGCACGCGCTCAATCAAAAATGTTTACTGAAGTGAAGTCCAATATTGTTCCGCCCCTACTGTTGTCTCGAATCGCATTACAAATTCACAAAAAAATACGTAATTCGCCTTATTCGGTACGATTATTTCATCATAAAGTTATTTTGTCTGTAATATCGATGTAATAGTAATAACTCCCGAAATTTAAAGTTTTATATCGGATCGGATTGGAATCAGCTTTTAAGTTTTATTGAATAAAGCGAACCTTTACTAGTCAGTCTTTTTATGACTTTCAAATCTTAACTCTTTTATTTTTGGTAAATCAAAATGTATTATTCTACTTAGACTATTATATAACTACGTATAAAAATACATTACCAAATAGGCAGCTATAGAAATGTAATTAAGTAGGTTTCATGCACCTTTTAATTTTCAACCGACTTCAGTAAAGGAGCAAGATCTCAATTCAGTTCTTTTTTTTTTGTTTATTTGTTACCTCATAACTCCGTCGTTTATTTTGTTTCCCGATTTGGAAAATCCTTTTATTATTTAAAAAGGTATATTTACAGATTGGTCTCATAGAAATTTTATCAAAATTCGTTCAGTTTTTAAAATTATATAACTGGTTCTGCATCAATTAAATTATACATGTACTTAAATAACAATCAATTGATTATGTAACAATGAAAAATAATTGAATTAATAATAATATGGAATTATGAAAATCTTATAATTTATCCAATATATTATAATGCCATTGAATAATATTGAAACGGGCAATGTTTTATCCACACCTTCTACGTCATATCAAGGCCAGTGATTTTACAAATTGAGCCGCGTAGTGTCTTCTGAAGTAGTAGCACAACTGGTAAGATCAATGATTTCCACCTACTAATAACCATTTATATAACAACTTACAATTACTAAACCGCCAAATGTATAATTATAAATTAAAGTTTACAAGTAAAATAAATTACCTGTCCTAATAAAAAAAAATATGCCACGTAACTTTTACGCACGTTGCGTGAATGTGCAATTTCTAACACAAGCGGCGTAATCCAGCGGGGTCTAACCCCAGGTAAATTTTGGAACATCCATGGTATTGTTTATGCCTATAGGCGACGGTTACGACTCTCACTACGTGAGCCATAAACATTTTTGCCATTCTCTGTAAAGTAAAGAAATAGAATATCAAATTTTTGTCGGTTTGATTTCAATTCGTTAATATAAATATATAATTCATATAACTATAAATTATGAAAAGCGATAATCGTCACCTAAAGACGTGATTTCATAGAATTCATTGAAACGCGCTTGATTAATGTAATACATATATGTATTCTACCCATCCACTAAGAAAGATTTTTTTTGTAAACCTCTGATCACAGACTAGAATAGTATACGTGAGCGCAGGTACGATATTTCTTTTTAGTTACCATATGATGATAATGATATCAGCTATTATAGGCCACTTCTGAACATAGGCCTCTCACTATTGGGGGGTGTTGCTAGCAGTTGCCACGCATGGTACGCGGATGTTTAATGAGAGACGCTATTGCTCATTCCTTGACCATTAGATTTAGTTACAATATAAAAAGCATTAAGAAATACTGCAAAATAATGCAATATTTTACTCAATTACTCAATTGGCTGCACAAAACAAAACATATTAATATCAACAATTAGACGACAACCCTACCGTTAACAATGCGTTCGTTTGTTTGTATTGATTGTAACGAAAATCTCCATTAATTAAGTTTCCTTTATTTCAATATATCCAGACGACTGATTCCTTGTTAATTGCCATGTTGCAACGAAGTGCAGAATCAGACGGTTGAATCGGCGAACCTGCAAAATGCAAATACCCAGTTTACCAGCCATGCACCAACGTGAAACGTTCAGGAATAAAAATGTTTACGCAGAGCTCTTGACCGCGTTTTAATTGTTCTATTTAAATACAACAGCTTTAAATGCAGTTGCTAAACATTTGCATGTTCAAAAGTTTTTATTACGGGAATTATAATTTATAGCAAAAAACTACTAGTACAATTTAAAACAGCTAGATGAAAGAAAGTAAATAAAATAAATATAGCACATTGATATGCTCCTTCTTTTGTGAAACTAATGAATGAACCAATGTGATAATGAAATGAAATGACATAAAATTTATTTGCCGGAAACAATGCTACAATGTAGATGTTGCATTTGTCAAGAGTTTGAATGATTACTACGTGTATAGATATTTTTTTTTATACATCTTAGAATGGCAAACAAGCTGACGGCCCACTTGATGGAAAGTAGTAACCGTCGCCTATAGACATGAGCAGTACCATGGACATAACAGAGTATACTGTTTCGCCCATGATACCCCTCATACGTTGCCATGCCGTTATAATCAACATGTTATTATTATAACAGCATTATGAAGTTTGAACCCTCTTTATCCGTACTGATGATGTTACTTTTTAATACATTTAAAGGCGATTGCTAACATTACAACTATGTTATAATATGACACAATTGATTATTACTGATTGAAGTTGAAGATATTTTTTTTAATAATTCATATACTTATTCAAACCAAAAAAATTAATGCATAAAATAAATATTAAAATAATTTGTAGTAGCAGTTAAAATCTGAATTATGAAGAAAATACAGTCGCGTTTAGCGTAGCTCATGGTAGCATTGGGCGCGTCTCCGGAGCCGAGCCGGCGCCCGCCTTGTTATGCAAGCTCATTGTAGCCCACGCTCAACACTCCACAAAATCACACTTCGAATATTATATGCCGCTTTTAGATTGTGTACTTCCTCTCTCACTATTCTGCGTATGACTAAGTTTCTGTTAGCGAATCACAAACATTTTCAATGTGTATTTTAGTTTATTCAGAAATGAAACGATTAATACAATATACTAGTATTTTTTTACAAACTCAAGATTGAACTTAATTGCAGTATTGTAAATAATAATTCGTATTTCTTTATATCATAAAAAAAATATACGAATATATAATATCTTTCTTGCTTTTATGAGATGTCAACAATCGAAAGTGAATTCGAATGAAAAAGAACACAACTTATTTATTAAATATAAATATTAAAAATAAGTAGTATACTTATTGCCATTTTACAAATAACGTATGAAAGAGCTCACGAAAAGGCTTATATAAATCTTAGATAAGTAATAAAACTTATGATTAAAAACAAAAATGAATATAGACCTATTCACAGCTATTGCTACGCGTATAGGAGCGTAGCGCTTGCTACGTATACGCAGACATCGTGTATTCGCGTTGGTCGGACGTGATGTAGCTACGACAACATAGCGTCAACAAATACGCACATCGGACGCGGCGTAGCGCCAGTGTTCCGGATTTAGTTCAATCAAAGCCTCGCCTCGTCATGTTTACGTAAAATTGAGCAGAATCAATTTTCGTTAGCTCACTTAAAATTCGAACACATTCGCCGATTTCCGGCGGCACATCGCACATTTCCTGCCGTCTAGCCATCCGGCTGCACCGCGCCCGCCGGGGAAAGTGCTTGCCGTTTCAGGACATTTTGTACACCATTTTTATTTCATCATAATTCCGTTTTCAATTTCTACCGAGAGCATCGTGGGCGACGTCGAGATTGGTGCGTAAAATTCGCGTAAACATTCGAGCGGTTGCGAAACGGTTACTCCCGACTGTAACCGCTTTATACCGGTGCAGAGTGTAAAGAGATAAGGTTCTTTATGTGTGTAATCATTTTGTGTTACGACGGACTTCGCCGCTCGTGAGTGTTATTAAGGCGCCGTGTCCCCGCCCGCTAAGCTTTTACGCCCGGTGATTTTAAAGTGAACAATGTATGAGTGGGGTCGCGCTGTTGACCGCGAGTCTGTCTACACCGACCGCCTTAAGATTTATACAGACTAGTGTTACAGACTTCTAACTGAGAATAACTTTACTATAGATTAAAAGTATATGAAATATATACATAATATACTACAACAGCTCTATAAAACGATGTTGCGACATTCTCCAGAAAAATAAAACTAGTCAGGTATAAATTTGAATTGAATCCAAGGGAAAAAATCTGACAACTCATATAAAGTTTATTACATTAATCGGATGAATTTCATAGGGTTTACTCATACATAAATACATACATACATATCTGTCACGCCTGTCTCCCATTAGGGTAGGCAGAAACAGGGTTTACTCATTCCAAGTATTAGTATAATTTAGTTATGACTGGTAGATGTTTCATAAGTGAGATCTAACAAAAACTCTCGTCGGTATCCTAAACATATTTCTAGTATATACTAATACCTATACAATATATTTAATACGCCATGATTTTATATTATAAAATTTTATAATTTATATAATAGATTTAAAAATAGAGGAAGATCATTATAATAAATTTGATGCCTAAAATACGAATATTAAAAATGTAGACCACCAATAAATTTTCACTGATCATATTTTTTTATTATTATTTAACTATCAAAGAGGTTATAAAGTGCACCTGGCACATATGAAGAGATATATCTGTATTATTCCCCCTTTAATTTATGTAACCGCTTTTTCCTTCAAGATATATTTCTATTTTCTACGAAAATCTAATTTTATTATATTTATAATGCTACTCCTCTAGTAACTGTTAAAACTTTACTATACACACGAGCAGATATGGTTATACGAGTATCTACTTCCCAATTTACACGCTGTGCGGTCATGAATTGACGCTGTATGATTACAAATTTAAGCCGTCGCAGCTAATATGAATGACAACGGGTCGAGCTACTCGACATTCATTTCCCTGGGCGCACCTCTCTTATAATAACTTACACGACAAGTTCGCCTTAAGGTACTGGCGAATATGTGAGAACGACTGGGTACGATGGCGCCATATATGAGAATGTCTTAATAACTTTATGATATATTAGACCCATTTTTAGAGTTCCGTAGTCTATTAGTGAGTCAGTTTATACGTTTAGAGCCGTTGTCTGCACATCCATCCATCCTAAATATCTCACTTGTATAATTATGAACAGTACTAATAAAAATTCTCAAATAATAATGAGTCATATACTCGTATTAATTAAAACACATAATTATGTATTAACATTTTAAGCAGTTAAAGCCAAAATTAAATTATACTCTAACGTTTCTATCTATAGTTTCGCATAAAGTTCATGAAGAATAACTAAATTACAGAAAAATAATATAGTAATAAAGAGAAGAGAATAGGTATCATGAAGGTTCCAATTTTATCATCCGTCCATGACCTTTAATAACAAGGCAAGTTTCACGCAAATCCGTAAATATACATAATATTCGCCTTGCCTATTGAATAGGGCGAAATTACTGAAGAAACAATTTTCCACGCTTGAATTGCTGAGCTGCAAACAATTTTATACATATCTGATGAAGGTGTAGACTTTGGCGCCCTATAATCCAGATTCGACCCTTGAATGTAAGCGAACGAGCGGGTGGCCGAGGTTTTAGAGTGGCCCTTCAATCAGCCCTTGCTTGCGGGCGCGGGGGCTGGAGGAGCGGAGACGCGCGGTACGCGGGAGGGGGCGCCACGAGGACCTTTGAGCTACAAGCTCTTTGACACGAGCCACTGGCGCACTCTTCAAGTAATGATTCATTCTGCTGATGACTGACGCGGCTAATGCGGCAGTTTCCCCCGCCTTGATATTTGGTTAAGGATTAAAAATTCGCGCTCGCTTTTTAAATTAGATCTCATCTTCGCTTTTAAGTCATTTTTTTAAAAAGATTATCACATAAAACTCGCAATGTCAACGTTTCCAATTAGGCAATTCAGGTTTACGCTGAGATTAAAAAGGGAAGACAACTTTAGTTAAAAATAGTAGGTATAAAAGGTCAGTGCTTACATCCGTTCAAATCAATCTTAATGTCATAGATTTTTTTAAATTACTGATTCGTCCTAATATCAATATGTAAAATTTTATGTCGGTATGGAATGTATATAGTAAGTATTAGAAAAAAATCGGTTACATTTTTATTTTGTTGTACCTGAACAAATGAGACATTAAAATGCCTAATTTGAATCCACGCCACGTTAAGCATAATACATACGTAGTATGAGTACATATCAATTAATTCCATTCCGATACGTTGATTATCATAAATAATCAAACAATCGAGCGCGCATTAGTTGCTTAACGCAATAAACCCATAGCAAGCTTCATGGACAAGTGGATTAGCGGGGTGGGCACTGCCGTGCAACAAAACGACCAACGTCAAAACGTAGAGCGATCGTACCGGTGTCGTGAACGCACCGCTGAGCTACAACAAACACGTCCATTGTTACCGGCAGTCACCAATTCCGCAAGACAATAGCGATCCTCTCGCTACCATACTGTGCACATAGCTCAAATCCGTAATCGATACTCGGAAATTATTTAATAGCTAGCTCAAAGGTTTTTTTTTATATGGAAGGTAGGTGAAAAATCTCTCGACAGCTTTCACAATTTCCATACGTTTCTGGTTACAATTAAATTTTCTTTTTTTATATATATAAAAAAACTGTTTTGAATTATTTATATAAAAAGCTGTTTATTAACTTTCTATTAATTATTAATAATATTCACGCTGTGATTTCACATATTTTTTTGGCTCCACTTCAAACAAACTTTGTTGTAATAATTGTTTTAATCTAGTAAAAATTCCAATTAAAAGTTTTTATCTCTCTAAGAGCTTAGACGGTTTGCCGGGAGTGTCTGAAACCGACCCAATGTGACATAATATTTATAAAATATTTCTGGTTGATAAACGTATCTCTTTCTTTCGACACATGATGTGAATTTACAAAAGAAATGCGCAATACATATTAAAAT